TTTTTTTTTAATATAAAATTAATTTATTTTTTTTTTTTTTTTTTTTTTTGCTACCAATAACAAGTTTTTAAACTAACATACAAATAACAAATTTTTAAACTAACATACAAATTTGATTAAATAAGTCAATGATATTTTATATTTTATATTTTGGAACAAACTTTTATACAAAAAAATGGAAGAAAGAGATGCAAAACTTCTATCAAACACCTTGAGATCAGCTTTCATTTTTCATGTCATTGTAAACCATAATCTTTCCGGTGGGTTGACAAACCAAGTCATAATAGTAAACCCAAAAACGAACCAAAAATTTGCAGAGTTTCTTACACATTTGATGGCTGGTAAGTTTTATTTCTCTCACGAAGATCTGGTCTTTACTTTGCAACCCCTTCCTGCTCTTTATTCTCTCTGAGGACACCATTACAGTAGTCATTTTCATCTTCACTTCCATGAAGTTTCATATGTGACTTCTAGTTGATTTTTGAAAAACAATTTTTGATGCACCAAAAAAGCAAAGATGAAATTAACCAAAAGACCTATTTCAACTCAAATAGATTTCTACAGTAAAATTTAAATAAATATAGAATTTGAAGAAGATGATGACAAATCTGAAAGAATTAACAAATATCAAGAAAATACATGGTCTTACTCAAAGTGTCACATTTGAGGCTAGTGATAATCATAAATAATCTTAATCAAACTGTCTCAATTTTTAAAGAAAACACATGGTATATCAAGTAAATTATTTAGTTTAATTTAACATATTTAAATTTAAAGTATATATATGGTATAATCTTACTCATTCTATGTTAAAAAAAANTTAGTTTAATTTAACATATTTAAATTATATATATGGTATAATCTTACTCATTGCAATTTAAGTAAAAAAAAAAAGTTATTGCCCAGAACGGAGCTGGACAATTCTAACAACACTCAGATGAAATCTTTGTTAGTTTACCATCAAACATTCAAAAATATAATTTCTATTTTGCAGAAATCTATGTCGCGAAATAATCATTCGTAATAATAATAAATTCTAATGGAGTGATCTGTTAATGGTAATGGATTTAAATAATACCATCCAATATTCAAAAATCACAAACCAAAACAGATATCTTATTTTCGTTCATCAAGCTTACTTGACCA